CCCTGGTATACAAACAGTCTTCGTGTGCCTATAGCACAAAGAGGGATGCTCTCTCAGCCTGGACTCTTAGGGGAGTGCCTGGACCCTACCCAGAGTGAAATGACAGACTCTAGATATCCCCTATGTGGAAGGATTTGGCAATAGGGTGGGAGGGTGGGGGGGAAGGGTAGTGCGGGAGGAGGGGAGGGAGAGGGAACTGGGATTGACATGTAAAACAAGCTATTTAAAATTAAAATAAAAAATGATAATAAAAAAAGAAAAAAAAGTTTATGATAACCCCACTAAGCTGAAAAAAAAACCACCTAAAGATTGGCGTTGGACTAGAAACTGCTCAGGACAATTTCGAGGTGTCTAGCTGAGTTGATCAAGCCTCACAGACTACTCTAGTCAGGACTTGAGATAACTCTTCACTTTTCCATTATGCAGAGACTGAACAAAAAATAATATAGCTAGCTCTTCCAGGAGTTAACAATTATCCAAATTTTCTTTTCAGGATCCCCTAATGATGCCATTGCAACCAGAGAGCAGGAAGTAAATTTAAGAATATGATGTTCACATTCCCAAGAGATGAGTGGGTGGTTTTTGGTGTCAATAGGTTATGGATATTTACCTTTGTTTGGGGGGGGTGGCTACAAGTTGTTATTAGTAATGGTCAGGAAAGAATTGAACAAAGGAGATTAATTTCAGAGCTCTTGTTTTTAAAAGCAAAAATGGAATGTAGATATGATAACATCTAAGGATGATTATTGACTGTAGTCTGAAAAGAAAAGGGGGATATAGAAATAGGATAAAATGTTAGATTATTGAATCTACTTTTAAACAAAAAAGCAACTCCTAGTTTTAAATATTTTACATCAGTTTGGATTTTTGTATATTGATACAAAAATGAGATTTTTTGTTATAACATACTATACACACACCTCTAATCTTGTTAAAATATGTACCTATAAAACTTATGTAACAATGTAATGTGAAATTTTAGTCCTTGAAAGTTATTGTTACAAACTAGGACAATAAAGAAATGCAGGATAGCAATTAGACACCTATTACAATTGAACTTGCAGTAATATTGGGTATGTTTCATGGTCAACCAGAGATATTTTATTAGCACCAAGCTCTAACCAACTGAGCTAACCGGCTAAGTTCAAACAGATATTTTAAATAGAGAGGTTGTCTTCAAACACTACATAGATCTACAGAATATGGCATTTAAGATGTTTTAATGACATAGGTTCTTCTCTTTTTTATGGCAATGAGATGTCTGTTCCTGGCAGCAACAATGTACTTCAGAGAAGATGATGGACACTGAAGAAACTTCACATGGAATTTACTTTCTTTGTGGCAAAAGTTAGCCACTGGGTAAGAAACCGTCATTGCCTTGACTGTTGACAGTACGCTGTAAAAATCTTCAAAGCAGGACACAAAAGAAAGGACTGACAAACGTTGCCAAGACAAGATAGGCCAGCCACTCAGAATATCCTGCTTCACAGAAAAATCTGTCAGATATTCTAGGCCTGTGGGCCAAAGACAGATGCCCCAATGTTACAGAGGAACCTTGGGTGAGTGTCCAGGCAGCCAGCTGTCTCTATCATTTTTGGAAGTTGCTTGCATGCACTTCCTGTTACTCAGGAAATATTTCCTTCACAGGTCTCTGATGAGTTGAAGACATTATAGTTATAGTTTTCATCTTCCTTGTTAACACGTTCATAAAGAAACTCACAAAAGAAGTGTAAAGTGTATAAGGTTGAGAGACATAAAAACATAGTTTGGGGTTGGTAATGCAAGTTAGGATATGAAGTGAATTAGGTACAATCTTTTGAACTCACCAAAATAGGATAGATATGGAGTATTTTCTCTGAATTTGTCAATTGTCAATGGACTAGACACTGTTAAAGTAATTATTGCCTATATATTGTATACATATTATTGTACTTATTGTGTATAGTTTTTCTCATGTTAGTTATAGCCTTCTTTTTATTTTAGACAAAAAAGGGGAAATGTGGTGATATTTTGTTTGTGGTCTAACAAATAAAGCTTGCCTGTCGATCAGAGGGCAGAGCTCACCACCAGCTAACCATAAGGGTCTAGATGTCTGTACAGGCAGATGGGAAGCAATATGGCTGGGTGGAGAGAGGAATATAAGGCAGAAGGAGACAGGAGCTTGCTCTTTTTGGCTGGAGAGTTGAGGGTGTAGGGTGTGGCTGTGTTTTGCTCCTTTGTCTCTCTGATCTTTCAGCATTTATCCCTATATCTAACTCCAGGCTTTTATTCTAAATACCTATTAGAACTCATGCTACAGTTCTATTTATGTATATGAACCTAATTATACCATTATTATGCAAAGAAGACATACTCTAAAGGAGACCACTTGGAAATCAGCTCCCAAACACATTCATGTGACTCATGTGTGCCTTTCAGTGAAAGACCACATACATATATGAATGCAGTATGATAAGATTCTAATGGTGCTGAACAATTTGTCACCTGGCTCCTCTGTATTCATGCCATTGTACTACCATTGTCTGTGGCATTGCTGGGTAGCCTCGGAGCAGCATGCTCTTCCTCCCACAGCTGGCATGCAGTAGGACCCACAAGCCAAGTGTGAATTAGTAAGGCTCTGTGAATTGCATGAAGAAATTGCCTAATGTACTTTCCAAAATGCAGGCCTGGTGTACTATGGATGGGCAATTGATGACCCCTACCTCTGTTCCATACAGAAGACAGTTTTGGCAAGAAATGACACTGGGCAGCCCGATAACCACGTGCACAAGAATGCAACTACCAGTAGCTAACACCACACACAAAAGTGAAGTTTAAATGGATCACAGACGTGAAGGTATGAGTTCACCTGTAACAATGCAGGGGACAGAAGCTTCAGTACAGTGAGCTGCTGGTGGTCACTTGAATAGAGGCACAACATCAAAGAGTTGAAGACAAACTGGGTTTTTTAATTGTTAAAACCTTTGTGTCTCACATGTCATTGCCTGGGCTGGTGAGATGGCTTAGTGGATAAAACGCCTGCAACCTAGACCCACAGTCTGAGTTCAGTCTCTTGAAGCCACATGGTGGAGGGGGAGCTCCAGCATCTTCCTGTTGAGCCAACTCCCTCTTACCTCTACAGGCACACATCACACACACACACACACACACACACACACACACACACATGCACACGCACACCAGCACACTCAAATACATAACACATGCTCTTTAAAATGGTAACTGTCAAAAGAGGGGAAGAGAAACAAGACATGAGAGAGAGAAAGTAATGACGACCCACAGGTCTGACAGGACAGTCGTAGCCAGAAAACAAACAAACTAAAAACCACATATGTATCAGATATCTGAATGAGCCAAAGGCTTCCATAGACATTTCTGCAAAGCAAACAGACCAACCTCAGTGACACTTATTATTAGGACAGAGTCCATGACCACACTGAGACACTTCACACTCGTTAGTATGGCTTCTATCGAAGCAGCCCTAGGAAACATGGGGTACCAGGAGGTGGAGCTTGTGGAGACTTGTGACTTCTTCACAGGAGTGTCATGGGGTACTGCCAGCACTGAGGGCTCCTGAAGCAAGATGCTGATTGCTCTTATCAAGAAAAACCCAGAGTCAGATATCACGGTAAATACTGAAAGATCAGAAAAGCAAAGGAGCAGCCACAGTCACTTCTTACAGCTCCTAATCCTCTAGTCAAAAGGGGGAGATCCTGGCTATGCCCAGCCTTATCACTTCCTGTCTTTGCCCAGCCCTCTCACTTCCTGTCTCCTATCTGTACAGAACTCCAGACATCTATAGTTAACTAGCAGCTAGCTCCACCCTCTGATCTCCAGAGAAGCTTTATGTGTCAGAACACAAGTGAAATATCACAATATTCCCCCTTTGTATAATTAAAAAGAGTTATAACTAACATAGGAAAACTATATACAATAAGTACAATAACTTCATATAATATATACAGGCAATAATTATATTGACAAGGTCTAGTCCATTAACATTTGACAAAATAAGAGGAAATACTCCATTATCTATTCTATCTTGGTGAGTTCAAAGTGTGGTACCTAATTCACTTTCTATTCTAACTTGCACTATCAACCCAAAACTATGCATTACATCTCTCAACCTTATACACTTTACAGGTCTTTTGTGAGTTTATTTATGTATGTGTTAACAAGGAAAATGATAACTATCTAGGCGTCAACTACATCAGAGACCCCAGAAGGAAATAATATTACCCGAGTAACAGGAAGTGAAAGTAAGAGACTTCCAGAAAAAAACGTGAGAAATGACAAAACGACTGAAATCCTGAATAGTCATCCAAGGTTCCTCTGTAACATCTAACAGACTTTTCTGTGAAACGGGATATTCTGAAACTCTTAGAAGAGAAAGTGGGAGGTACCCTTGAACGAATTAGTACAGGAGACTGCTTCCTGAATATAACCCCAGTAGCATAGACACTGAGATGGACAGTCAATAAATGGGACCTCCTGATACTGAGAAGCTTCTGTAAGGTAAAGGACACAGTCAACAAGACAAAAAGGCAGCCCTCAGAATGGGAAAAAATATTTACTAACCCCACATCAGACATAGTACTGATCTCCAAAATTTACAAAGAACTCAAGAAGCAAGTCTCCTAAACACCAAAGGATCCAATTTAAAACTGGGCTACAGAATTAAATAGAGAATTATCAATACAGGAGTCTAAAATGGATGAGAGACACTTAAGAAAGTGCTCAACATCCCTAGCCACCAGGGAAAGGCAATCAAAACAACTCTGTGATACCAACGTACACCTGTCAGAATGGCTAAAATCAAAAACACCAAGGAGAGTTTATGCTGGAGAGGATGTGCCACAACAGGGAAGGCAAGCCTGTCCTCCATGACTCCCGGATCTCGCCGTTTTCACCCCCAGTGCCTGACTGCAGGACCAAGGCGATGGCACGAGATCCCATCACCCACTTGGAATGAGGAACAGATCCAGTCTGGCCAAGGGCAAGTCCCAGAACATGTGCTCTTCTGAGGCTCCCGAGGCTGCTTCCCTTGTGTGTGGCCTGTGGTGAGCCCTTCCTGCCATTACAGTAGGCATTTCCTCTGTGGCTCCGTGTCCCTGCCTCAGCCCGGTTCTCCTGGTCTCTGAACAATCCTCAGTTTCCGTTGGTGAGTGGGGATGCCACGCTCTTGCAAAGGTTCTTTCACTTCTGGAGTGGGACTGGGCTAGGAGGGGGGGGGGAGGGGGGATGGAGAGGGCGGGGGGTGGGGCGGTGGGGGGCAAGTATGGGCTACTGGCTGCAGGAATCTGCTGTGCTGCTGTCTGCCGTCTACTCCCACCCCTGGCCCCTGCACCATTCTCTGGGTTCTATTGTAGGGGAAAATTGCCAGTCAAAGAAACATACCCTGAGCAGAGCCAAAGAAACGCACTTTGGCCCTGCATCCAGAACCAAAAAAAAAAAAAAAAAAAAATGCACCCTGACCCTGAAACCAGTGCCAAAGAAACACACTTTGGCCCTGGAATCAGAGCCAGTGAAAGAAATAAACTCTGGCCCTAAAATTACAGCCAAAAGTCTAAAAAGGACCAGAGAAAGAAATGCACTTTGGCCCTGAAACCAGAGCCAAATCTGACCCTAAACCGGTGCAGAAAACTATCCAGTCCCGAGCAGGAGATCTAGGTATCCTAAACTCTGGGATTGAAATCTGACCAATCCCCACTCTGAAAAACCTCCACCCCTTATGAACCTTGTGTCTGTTCAGTTTGTGTCTGTTCAGGCAGAGGGCAGAGGGCAGCCACTCTCCCGGATTCTTCTGTCCCAGTAAATCTCTTGAATGAGGTTTGGGTGAGACCATCTTTCTCTGGAGCAGAGAGGTCCTTGGGTGGAGCACAACAGAGGAAACTTTCCCCTTGGCAAAGCACAGTTGTTACACTGCACTCTCCTGGGGGTTGGAGCTGAACTGTTCGCCTGGGAAACCCTCTCCTGCCAGAAGAGAGCTGATACACTGGGGAAGCCTTTCCCTGAAGGAGGCTGTAAGCTGCTATGCTTACTGTGACCTGTAGTAGTCCTTGGCTCCCGAGTGCCAGAAGACCTTTCCATCACAGCTGTAATATTCCGTATTCTTTGGCTCCTGGGTGCCATAATCCAATTCTGTCCATTCCATCTGATCCATCAAAATGCTTATACCTCGTCCTTACATTTCTTTATACTCCAAGTGTACATCGTCTCAACTGTTGGTTCTGCGGTTTGTGCTTCCATAGGCAATATCCTATCCACATTTACCACACTCCCACTGTGGCCTCAAACCATGAGAGAAATGTCACCGTCCGGGTGTGAAAGTTTCCCCAACCCCAAACAATGTAAGGCCTTGTTTACCTAAACAGTGCTTTCCCAAGGCAGGGCTCTCAGAGTCGCAGTCACCACAGTGAGTCAGATCACTCTTCCCAAATCTGCTGTTTTTGCACTTCCCACAGGGGCTAGGGAAGGAAGGCACAGACCTAGGAATGGCTCTGGACTCAAGTTGGTCCTCACTTCTAGGAACCCAGGCATGAGGTCAGGAAAGGGAAATGCACACGGGACAGAGTCCAGGAAGAACATGCCAGGTTCCGTGTGTCCTCTTGTAGTGGAGTCCAAAGGACAGTGATTATCTGTTGACTTGTGTACAGAGAACTGCAAATCTAGGATGACAACTGGCCCCTGATGACCAGGGGCTCTGTTCCAGTTTGCTGTTACAGACATGGCACCCCTGTGCAGCTGACATGAATACCAAGACCCCAGTCCCCCTGACAGGGCACAATTGTTCACATGGCTGAGGGAGGCATGGACTGAGGATGAAGGGAAGCAAACAGTGCTAGGCAGATGTTTCCCAGAGTGTCCAGGTCATCTCCTAAGAGCTGGTGACAGAGCAGGGAACCCTTCACCACACACAGTGAGTGACATCCCTCACCTGCTCGGTGCACTTGCCTCTCAGGGCCTCACTTAGCCTGAAGCAGATAAACCAGGCCTGGGTTTGCCCATCCCACACTGGGGCCAGCACCCAGTCAGCACCGTTGCTTCTCTTTCATGATGTCCTACATGAGCAAGAAGGGATAGACTGCTAAAGAGGACATGTCCTGATGTTAACCCCCAGGGTAAACTGTCGGGAATCAGCTCTGACCCTGAAAGTGTCCTATGTCAGCCCAGGAGAAATCTGTTTAAGCTCCTCAGTGGTCTTATAACCCCCTGCACTGTGTCAGCGTTGCTGTACTGTGCAGCGTTGCTTTTGGGGCCAGGATGGAGCTAGAGGAAGCTGTTGAGTGTTCATCAATCCAGGGTGCCAACCTCACCATAATCTGTTGGGCAGGGCCAAGAGAAAGAGAGGAACAAGAAGTGAACCAGTGGGACAGGGCTTCAGCCACAAGCACAGAGGCCCCCAGGTCCCTGGAGACATAGAGGTGCAGAAAGAAGGTGGGAGGGGCAGCTGAAAGGAGGACACCCTGCCCTTGCTGTAGTTCTGCACGGTGTGGACTCAGCTCATCCCCTCTAACTCAGTTCCTGCCTCCCTTCTGCCTCACTGGCGGGTGCAGCAGAGAGCGCCTGTCTGGATTCCACTAGGACTTCTGAGCCCTTGGTTTTCAGAGGTCTGGATCCCAGCAAGGACAGGGACTGCACCTTTTCCCAACCCTAGAGAGTGATGAGTTGTTATGTGGTCGGCCCAGCAGTGGCAAGCACACAAGTGCCATTTGTTGGAAGGCTCAGAGTCATCTTTCCATTTTCCTCATGGCTGCCCATCCTAACCACAGGAAACTGGCAAGAGAACACTCCAAGAAACAAACAGTGAATAAAAGCCTGAGGCCACCATGTGACAGTCCCTGGCCTAACCTAAGAGCCTCCAGGGACTCTATGACACTTGTTGGCATTTTCTCAGATTTCTCAGATCCCACGCAAGAAGTGGCAGTTCTGAGTCTGGCCTTCCTGCTCAATCCGGCAACCTCACACCTGTCCACAAGACTCCACAGGCTGCAGTCACCTTCCTGCAACTGTCCCTCATGCCCCAAAACCAATCAGTGGCACTTGCTGTCACAGCCAGCTGGTGTATCCTGCAGTGCCTGTGAGGTCCTTGTGTCCTGCTAACTAAGTGCTCCTTGAGTCTACAGGACAGTCTTACCCCAGTGTGTGGCAATGTTCACAAGTTCCTCAAAAGTCTGCCTGTGTAGCATGAGAAAGACACCCTTTCCATCCCTACTATGAGAGCTGTAGACACAGGGCTCCACCCACCAAGAAGCAAAGGGAGAATAAAATCAGACACAGTGGCCTCCCTGGGACAAGCACCTGGGCATCCTGCTGGCCTCCCCAGGATTCTCTTGACACTTATAGACAGTTTTTCTGCTTTCCCAGGTCACAGCTAAGAGGTGCCCAGGTGGAGTGGTTGGCCTTCCTCATGAGTTGAGTGACCGCACGCCTGGCTCCCCAGGCTGTAGCTGCCTTCCCCACACTGCCTCTCCCTCACCATCATTGGCTAGACACACACGCCATCTCAGTGGCCCTTGCAGCTCAGTGATAGTGTCTGCAACGCCAGCCACACCTCATGTCCTACTCACCAACGGAGCTTTAATGGGCTTAGATCAATTCTAAGACAATGTCCACAGGCCCCTCAGAGCTCGGCCTGTGTGGTATGCGTCTCACTGACTTTGCTGCACCTGAGGCAGGGTCCACTGGTTCACAGGGCCCAACCCTATGTAACCACTATGTATGCTCCCTGGGGAGAAACTGAGCTTCGCCATGGATAAGCACCCGAGGGGAAAAGAGGAGGAGAAAACTATGAGCTGACTTTCCCTGCCCCATTCTCACCTCTCTTTACACAACCTGGATGAACAGTAAACACAGCTTCTTGGCTCAAGGCAGAGAGCAAAGTGCAGCCTTTCCCCCTTCATAAGGGACCAGGGGATGAGTGTGTCCTCAGAGTGTCTTTCTGATCCTGGGTGTCACTGAAACAGTCTGGAAAGCAGTGGGGCAGCCATGGTACTGCTGATTGGAGATGGCCTGTGGTCTGGGGTCATATTCACGGCCCTCTTCCTGCTTCTGGTGGACCTGATGCACCGACGCAAGTTCTGGAGGGCCCGCTACCCTCCAGGTCCTATGCCACTACCTGGACTGGGCAACCTGCTGCAGGTGGACTTCGAGAACATGCCATATAGTTTATACAAGGTAAGGGATGGCAAAGGGCAGTGGATGTCATGGTACCCATAGCAGCTCATAGAGGTGCTGAAGCCACAGGATAGATAGGAAGACGGCCCCCAAGAGGGAAAAGTGTCAGTGGTTTCCTTATGGCAGTCACTTCTGTGTCTGAGGACACTGTGGACTTTCTAAGGGAAGAGGGACAGTATGGAAAATGCCACAGATACAGGTTTGGAGGTTGGTTGGACTAAGTGACATAAGTCAGGGAGGCCCCACTTCAGATGTGATCCCATCAGTGGCTGAAGTCTCAGGCACATAGGGAAGGAGTCAGGTTCCAGTGTAGTCTGTCATTCAGGAAGGAAAAGCATTTGGAGGGCCTACGTCTGCTACAATCTCTTGTTGCTATGTGGTCTCAGGCCTTGCTGCCCATCTCAGGATCATGAATTTCCTCTTGTCCTGTAATGGAGGGGTATGAATGGGGCAAGGACCTTGTTTTGCCAAGGTCATCACTGAATGACCATGTCTACTATGAGACCTTGGCTGGATTTAGAAGATAGGATACCCCAATCACAAGGTGTCATGTCTCAGTGTAGAGATGTTGGTCAGTGATAGAGCATTTGACCAGCAAAGGGCAGGAATAAGGTTCAATAATGAGTATCATGCCAATAAACTCACGTTTGCACACACACGTATGCACACACACAAAAACGCACAGACATGTGTTCAGATTGGATCGTCAAGTCTGCCGTATGTCTCCCCTTGCTAAGTGCTCTGTCCCTCTACTCCAGTTCCAACAGCGCTATGGAGATGTGTTCAGCCTGCAGATGGCCTGGAAGCCTGTGGTGGTGATCAATGGACTGAAGGCAGTGCGGGAAGTGCTGGTGAACTGTGGAGAGGACACCGCTGACCGCCCTCCAGTGCCCATCTTTAATCACCTGGGCTACCGGCCTAAATCTCAAGGCAAGGAGCTGTAGTGGGTACAAGGCAGGAAGAATAGGGCTTGAGGAGCAGTGGACAGAAGATAGACAGGGCCTGATGGAGGGGTGTGGTCAGGCAGTGGAAGGGACAGTCACTGAAATGGAGGGTGGAGCCTCCACGATGGCATGTGCTGATATGTGGTCATTAAGTGCTGGGCGCTGATGGCTAAGACTGACCCCAGGGAAATGCTGGGAGCAGAGGAGACGGACAGCCAGGTATCCTTGGTGTAAACATATGTCCCTGCAGGTGTGGTGTTTGCACGTTATGGACCCCAGTGGAGAGAGCAGCGTCGATTTTCTGTGTCTACCATGCGAGACTTCGGCGTGGGCAAGAAGTCACTGGAGCAGTGGGTGACAGAGGAGGCTGGCCACCTCTGTGACGCCTTCACCCAGGAGGCTGGTGGGTGACAAGTATCAGACGGAGATGTGGGCAGGCGCTCTTGAGCAATATCATGACTTGCTTGCCTCTCTGCTCCTAGGACATCCCTTTAATCCCATCACCCTCCTGAATAAAAGTGTATGCAATGTGATTTCATCCCTCATTTATGCCCATCGCTTCGACTATGAAGACCCTTTCTTCAACAAGCTGCTCAAGACGTTACAGGAAAGCTTTGGAGAGGACTCTGGCTTCATTGCTGAGGTATGAGTCTCAGGGCAGTGTACATGGTCATTTCTGTGCTGTAAAGGCTCTCAGATGAAAGTGCATTCAGGGTGAATAGGGTGAGGGCCTTGTGTGAGAGTCAAATGCAGGAGGAAAGGCCTGGACCTTGGCAAACCTGAGATAACAGGAGGGGAGAGGGTGGACTAAGGTCAGGGGCTCAAGAAGTGGGGTGAGCTCTGCCTCCTATCTACATGGAAACCACACAAGCCTGGTAGATTTGCAGACAGAATAGTCATTTTGTTTCCAAGACATCCTATACCTGGAACTGAGGAAGAAGCAGATAATGGGAGGGGACAAACTGTCTCTGAGTCCTTGGTGGAAGATGCTGAGATCTAAGACTGGTCCATGTGAACACTGAGCAGTTACAGCCCCTAGGGGCAAGAGAGACAGATGGTCTATGTGTAAATGTGCTTACCAAGCAAACCTAGAGACCTGATCTAGACCCCTGGGACCCATGATGGAGATAGATCTTACTCTAAATGTTGTCTCTGATCACCAAACAATAGCCACTGTGCACAGGTGAGTACACATGGAGGCATGCACAGTATCTGACTCCTACACAGACACACATACACACACACACACACACACACACACACACACACAATTTTTTTCTGAAAAAGGGTTTTTTCGTCATGCTTTCCTGGCTGTACTGGAATTAAGTCTAGAACAGGCTGGCCTAGAAATCATAGAGTTCCTCATTCCTCTTCTTTCTGAGCCCTGGGACTAAAAACACATGCCAATAGTACCCAGTCCAATAATCATTCTTCATTAGAAATAAAATGAATAGACCTGTTTCTTCACAGGTGCTGAACGCAGTCCCAGTGCTGCTTCGGATCCCTGGGCTGCCAGGCAAAGCCTTCCCCAAGCTAACCACATTCATGGATTCCCTATATAAGATGCTGATTGAGCACAAGACAACCTGGGATCCTGCACAGCCACCCCGAGGTCTGACAGATGCCTTCCTGGCTGAGGTGGAGAAGGTGAGGACAGCCATAAAGGAGGGGCTAGGTCCTTTGGTCTACATTGTACGGTGAGTTGTGATGCCAGGCAGGTGGGGCTTATATGTCACCCATGGACCCAACATCTGGGGTACATGAACACAACGGTAGATTTCTTTGTCCTCACACCCCATGTCTCTGTCTGCCCTATCTGTCTGTCCCAGGCCAAGGGGAGACCTGAGAGCAGCTTCAATGATGAGAACCTGCATGTGGTGGTGGCTGACCTGTTCATTGCAGGGATGGTGACCACGTCAACCACACTGTCCTGGGCCCTGCTATTGATGATCCTGCACCCGGATGTGCAGAGTGAGCCTGGCTGGGGCTGGGAGGGAGCTTGAGGGAAGAAAGATAGTAGTCCCTGAGAAGCTAGTGGCTCCAGCATCAGATTGATTCAGATTCCCACAATTCTGATGGGAGTCTTAACTTAACCCAGTGGTGGACAGTCAAGGAAGCCCCACCAAGGGACTGCTTCATTGAGGGCATACTGTCTCTCCAGGCCGTGTCCAACAGGAAATTGACGATGTCATAGGGCAGGTGCGGCGTCCAGAGATGGCAGACCAGGCCCGCATGCCCTACACCAATGCTGTCATTCACGAGGTGCAGCGATTCGGAGACATTGCCCCAGTGAATGTACCACATATGACATCCCGTGATGTCGAAGTACAGGGTTTCCTCATCCCCAAGGTATGCATGGGCACCCCTGTCACAGGACCACAACCAGGCAAACTAAGGGTGTGAAGACCAAGACCATGGATTTCCACATGCTGAAGGGAACACGGTGGGTGTGAGTACATCACAACCATTACCCAGGACTCCCCAGTGAGGAGGGATGTCCAGTGAAATAAACCACAGTGTATTTTAGGGAGCACTGCACACAGGGGCAGGTGGGAATTGGGTTCTTATGGTAGTTTTCTCACAGGACCTTGAATGGTTCCAGAAAAGGCACTGAGAGACTCTGAGTTTGAGGTAAATGAGAGAATCCTAAGTGTGCAGGAAGAGATTGTGCCTGTGATTCTGGTAACCAGGGTATCAGCAGCCCCACCCAAGTCCGTGTCCATACCGTGTGTCTCCCTCCAGGGGACGACCCTCATCCCCAACCTGTCCTCAGTGCTGAAGGATGAGACTGTCTGGGAGAAGCCCCTCCACTTCCATCCTGAACACTTCCTGGATGCCCAGGGCCGCTTTGTGAAGCACGAGGCCTTCATGCCATTCTCAGCAGGTGCTGTGGGCCCCTGGCTCCCTGCCTCTCCCCAGGGTGCCTGGAGGGTGGAGCATCAAGCAGGCCCCAGACTGACTGAGCCTCCTCTCCTACCCACAGGCCGCAGAGCATGTCTGGGGGAGCCCCTGGCCCGCATGGAGCTCTTCCTCTTCTTCACCTGCCTCCTGCAGCGCTTTAGCTTCTCGGTGCCCGCTGGGCAGCCCCGGCCCAGCGACCAAGGCGTCTTCGCCTTGCCTGTTACCCCGACCCCCTACGAGCTCTGTGCAGTCGTGCGCTAGCAAGGACAGCAGCTCCATCCTCCTCCCCAGCTCGTGCTGCGTGATGTCCAATAAACCAGACCTGTGGCTGTCACTCAGATTCCTGGACCATTCCATCCTTGTCTCCACTGTGACCCAAGACCCAAAGACCACCAGTCTTTCCCCTCCTCCTCAGACCTCCCCTATGACCACCTCAATGTTGTGAGGAAACGGTTTCCTGAGCCACGAACGGTGGCACAGGTCTGCAGTATAGTTTGGGGGAGGCTGAGGCCAGAATATTTCAAGTTCAAGGCCAGCCTGTGCTATAAGCTGGATGACTCAATGAGTTCCTTTATCAAAGCGGGCAGGTGCAGGTGGTCAGGAGGTGATGAAGAGACCCAGGAGGGAAGGAAAGGGACAATGAGAGGGGGGAGCATTGTCACAAAGTAGGAAGAGAGGTGGCTGTGCTGGTGTTCAGTGATTGACCCTAAGTACACAGAAACCGATCGATGGGTGCTGACTTAGGACAAACCACAGACAGATGTCAAGGCTCACTGGTTCTTGAGGAAATGTGAAAGAGTAGAGGTGGAAATCAGCACAATTCTGGTTCTGGGCACAGATGTTGACATAGGTAAAGAGGGGCTGTCACTGCTACAAAAGCTGCTGTCCTGACAGCTCAGGCTGCAGTGAAAGGATGCAGGAGAAAATGTACTGAGGCATAATGTGATGAGTCAGAGCCCAGGAGGGTGAGCAAGATCCTGCTGTGCTCTCTGGGGTCATGTCTCTAGACCAAGCAAAGTGCTCCTGGCAAGCACTGGGACGGATGGGTATTACTACTAGCAAAGTTCCAGAATCTTGTAGTCTTGAAAATCTGGGGGTTTTCTGTGGCCTGGGAGGTCATAGAGACCTGCTGCACCCCTCGAGGCTCATCCCAGTCTCCATATAATCAGAGGCCAGACAGCAGCAACTCACAACCCCGACCTCTACTGCAATGATTGACAGCCAGCTGTCTGCAGACACTGATTTGGCTTTGCTTTAGTAAAAAAAGAACATGTATTTCTTCTCACTGAGGCTGTCATAGGGTCGTTAGAGAAGCTCCCCTGCGGTCCACTTGTAATCAGACATAGGCTTTTGGATGTTCAGGACCAAACACTCACCAAGCTATGGTGACGACTTCACAGACCCCTCCTTCTGCCTACAGTTATAGCCACATCATTTTGCCAGCCTCTCCTCTTCCTCGTCCTTCCCCTTTATTTTTATTTTTTGTATAACCATGGACATTTGTCTACACGTGTGCAGTGCCTGAGGAGGACTGGAAAGAGCCGGGGTTCTCCAGGGACTTGCATTGCAGTTAGTTATAAACGTCCTGTTGGTGCTGGGAATCAAGCCTGGGTCCTTAGGAAGAGAAGCCAGCTCTTCACTGAGGAGCCATCCCTACAACACTTCTCCTTCCCCCTTTAATGGCTCTGGAAGGTCTTGCTCTAGCCTGAGGCAGTGTGTTGTAGTTCCTTAAGCTCTGCATGTGTGACTTGTCAGAGGAGTGACTTTTCTATGTCCCTGGATGCATGGGTTCAATGTGCTTACAGCCCTCAGCCTAACCTAACCAGTATGCCCAGCTCCTGTGGTGTCGGTTCCCATGTCCTCATGCCCTCCACTGAGTAAGCCTGTGGACAGACAGGAATCTGGGCCCCAATAGCAGACTTCAGTGCTGTCTGGTGATAGGCTGTGGAGGGTCTGAGGATACTTTGGACTTTCTTAGTGCTATGTGTGAGTGGAATAATCAGGAGGTAAGAGAGGACATGGCAGCTGATTTGGCATCTGGTTGCACAGGACACAAATCATGAAGATTCAAGTCTCCTCTGATCTTGCTAATGGATGAGATCTTGAGAATGTGGAAGAGGGGTCAGAGTCTAATGTAGCATTTTCATCAAGAAAACAAATGGAGAGAGATGCTCTGTGGTGCTGACCTCAAGGACATGACTTTATTTGTATATGGTAGGCTGATAGGAAACCCAACGGCCTTTTCCCTGCTCTGGCAAGGTCACATCTGGGTGCTCATATCTGATAGGAGTCCTTCCTTGAACTCACAAGATGTAACATCCCCAGCCATAAATTACCAGATTTCATGCTGTGGACATGGATCATTGATCCATGGGAGGGCCTGAATACAATAAGTACCAAACTCCCGCTTGGTCCCCCACTGCCCCCTACCCTCTGCTTGAGGTGAGTGTGGGCTCCCAACTCCCACCCATCACCCTCTCCTTGGATCTTCCATCAAATTGAGCAGACCCACCCAGACAGGAAAGATGTGAGTCCTGCCACACCCTACACTTGGCTCCCCCTCTGCCCACAGTGCTCTGCTTGAGAGAAGAGAATGCAAGGAGAAGCCAGACCATCTAGAGTTGTGTACACTGAAGTCTTGACCCACATATGCCACTGGGAGACCACAGGAGATGGAGAGACCCCACCTGCACCCACTGGAAGAAAGGATGGGAAGATGACAGTATAAGAACACATTCAGAAATAGAAAGGTCAATGTGACACCACCAGAAACTAGAGAATCCACACCAGAAAGACCTGAAAAGTACAACGCAGATGAAACAGAAGAGACTGTCCTTAAAAATTATTTTATGAAGATGATAAAAACCCTCAGAGAGGAAACGAGAAAATCTCTTAAAGAAATAAAAGAAACACAACTACCAAAGTCAATGCTATACCACTGAGCTACTTTGCACTGGAGGGATGGCTCAGAGGTTAAGAAATAGAAGAAAAAACAAACAAAAATACATGAAATGGAGAAAAAGGCAAACCAAAAATTTCAAGAAATAAACAAATCTCTTAAAGAATCTAAAGAGAGCCAAGAAAAACCAATCAAGCAAGTGAGGGAAACAACTCAAACAGTTCAAGACTTGAAAGCTAAAATAGAAACAATAAAGAAAACACAGAATGAGAGGATGCTGAATAGAAAAGCTGGATAAACGATCAGGAACTATAGATGTAACTTTAACCAATAGAATACAAGAGGTGGAAGAGAGAATTTCAGGTGTTGAAGACTCACTAAAAGATATACAGTCATCAACCAAAGAAAATCCCTAACACAAAATATTCAGGAAATATGGGACACCGTGAAAAGGTCAAACCTAAGAATAACATGTATAGAAGAAGGTGAAGAAATACAGTTCAAATGTACAGAAAACAAAATCATAGAAGAAAACTCCACCAACCTAAAGAAGGATATGCCTATGAAAGTACAAGAAGCTTACAGAACACCAAATAGACTGGACCACAAAAAGAAGTCCCCTGGCCACATAATAATCAAAACACCAAACCTACAGAATTAAGAGAAAATATTAAGAGAAGCTAAAGAAAAAAGGCCAAGTAACATATAAAGGTAGACCTATCTGAATTACAGCTGACTTCTCAATGGAAACTATGAAAGCCAGAAGGTCCTGGATAGATGTTCTACAAGTATTAAGGGAACATGGATGCTGGCCCAGACTACTGTGTCCAGCAAACCTTTCAATTACTATAGATGGAGAAAACAAGATATTCCATGACAAAAACAGATTTAGACAATACATATCCACAAATTCAACCCTATATAAAGTACTGGAAGGAAAAGTGCAACCCAACAAAGATAACAACACTCCCAAAAACATTGACAATAAATAATCCCACTTTACCAAAAAACAAAAGAAAAAGAGGGGTATCCACACACAATAAAACCACCAACAACAAATCCAAAACAAACAAGAATGAACAATCAATGGTCATTAATATCCCTCAATGTCAATGGTCTTAACTTGCCTATAAGAAGATGCAGGCTGACAGAATGAATACGAAGACAGAATCCATCTTTCTGCTGCATACAAGAAATGCACCTCAATGACAAAGACAGACGTTACCTCAGAGTAAAGGGTTGGGAAAAGATTTTCCAATCAAATGGATCCAAGAAACAAGCTAGTATAGCAATCCTAATATCTAACAAATTAGACTTCAAACTAAAATCAGTCAAAAGAGATGAAGAAGGACATTTCATGTCCATCACAGGAAAAAATCCATTAAGATGAAGTCTCAATTCTGAGCATCTATGTCCCAAATACGAAGGAACACACATTCGTAAAGGAAACATTACTAAAGCTCAAGTCGCACATAAAACCTCACACACTAGTAGTAGAAGACTTCAACACTCTGCTCTCACCACTAGACATGACCTCCAGACATAAAATTAACAAAGGAACAAAAGAACTAACAGAAGTTATGACCCAGTTGGGATTAATAGACATCAATGGAACGTTCCATCCAAACACAAAATAATATACCTTCATCACAGCTCCACAGGAAACATTCACTAAAATAGACCACATACTCAGCAACATAGCAAACCTCCACAGGTACAAAAAAATTGGAATAACCCCTGTATCTTATCAGACCACCATGCTTTAAAGTTAGAATTCGACAACAACACAAATTGCAGAAACCATACAAACTAATGGAAATTGAAGAATGCATAATTGCACCATTCATGGGTCAGGGAAGGAATAAAAAAAGTAATTAAAGACTTTCTAGATTTAATGAGAATGAAGATACAACATACCCAAACTATGGGACACTTTGAAAGCAGTGCTAAGAGGAAAGTTCATAGCACTAAGTGCCCACATGAAGAAACTGGAGAATAGTCACATAGTCACACTAGAGAATTAACAGCACAACTGAAAGCTCTAGAACAAAAAGAAGCAAACTCATCCCAGAGGAATAGATGCCATGAAATAATCGAATTGAGGCCTGAAATCAATAAAGTGGAAACTAGGAAAACAATACGAAGAATCAATGAAACAAAGAATTGGTTCTTTGAGAAAATCAACAAGATAGGCAAACTTTATCCAAACTAACCAAAAGGCAGAGAGAAAACATGCAAATTAGCAAAATCACAAATGAAAAGAGGGATACAAAAATGGACACTGAGGAAATCCAGAGAATCATTAGGTCATACTTTGAAAACCTGTACTCTACAAAATTCAAAAATTTAAATGAAATGGACAACTTTCTGGATAGATATCACTTACCAAAATTAAATCAAGAACAGATAAGCAATTTGAATAGACCTAGAACTCT